CCCCAAAACCCCAAAACCCCAAAACCCCAAAACCCCAAAACCCCGTGCCTCTATCTCTTGATTGCAACATAAAATATTAATATATAATTCCCATTCAGTTTCATGAAATGGCAATCAAACATATCCAAATAAAAGTTTACAAATCTAAATTATCAATAAGCTTTATATTTATAAAATCTTCTCTCCTGGATAGTCCAGACTAGACATTATGTCCTTCTCATTCATCGAAATTTTCTTAGGTTTAGCGAACTTGGATTTCTTGAACATGCGGTATGGAACTGCAACCTCTCTGGGATGAAGCTTGCGTTCAGGGCTGACTTCAAATTCTTTGCTGGTGTCTTTAGTGATGTCGACATTCTGATGTTTCATTCCCTCGTTTTTGTTCCTATCCAAAATAATTAGCAACTTAATTTTAGGAATTCATCATTTTGGGAAACTGACTTTAAGGAGGTATTCGATGATTTAATTAAAAATTATATACGACAATGAAACTTGAGAAGTCTTTTTACAATGTCTTTTAGAACTAATTTTTAAAGTAGTGATTCATATCCACCATTTCTAAAAAGATTAAGATTTCCATAAAATAGCTTGCCAAAATTTACGAAAACCATGGCTCTATGCTTATTTAGCATTATTTCAGATTTTTTTAGCAAATTCATAAAATTTTCACTTACATTGATATTGAGGCATTCGGGTCTCTCGGGATAATATTCAACCTCTTGCTACTATACACAGTGACTTTCCTGGTGAGAGGTTGCACTCTCTTCTTTCTCCTTTTCGAACGGATGTACTTCACAGATTCGTAAACCAGATTTATGGCACTTATTATAGCGATCAAGACTGTGTTGCAAACAATCGAGTTATTCAGCAGTTCATCAAGTATGATAGAGTCGATTTTTTGGGTACAAAATACCAGAACCATCGTTAAAGAGTAGGTAACTTCATTGACAATCTCAATGATGTTAGAGCACTTTTCGTCGTGAGGACGGACAATCACTGTCAACATGAGCGAAGCTAATTGAAGTAATGCATAAATAAATAACTTTGACATTAGTGGAGCTGACCTCATCATTACAATAATTGTAACTACGAGGAATCTTCTGGTAAGGAATGTGAAGTTCTGGAGTTGAGCAAGATTACTAATTCTGAATCCTTCAAAAAGTTCCTTGACATATTTATTTTCATGAGGCTTTAATAACATGTAGAACAAAATTACTACAAGTAGCATAAATAAGAGAAGGATTATTATGCTTCCGAGACTGAGGTAATATGAGAGTGGGCTAGCAGTGATTTTATCGGCTCTGAGTACCTCGCTCATGCAGACCAGTCACACAAACAAAAAGCTTTCCAAGTAAAACCTCAGATATAGTTTAAAATAAAACAAAGACATGAAATAGCTGTAAAATTTTGATTGGAATCCACTATTTTTGCGGATTCAAACTAGCTTTAAAACAAGGTGCATTCACAGCCCTAAAATCACCGAGCCCACCAGAGTGACAACCAGGTCAAATCAGTTGACGAAGGCGCTCCCTGATTCATACTCGTTGTCTCTGAACTCTGTGTACGGGTTCTCATAATCCAGTTGATCGATGATGCTCTGGAACCCTGGGAGGTTTTTTGTGTTCAGAATGTTTATGTTGAGGATGCTGGTCTGAAGAGCTTTGATGGTCTTTCTGAAGTCGAGAGGCAGATCAGATCTCAAAAATGGAATCACCATAAACAGTTGGTATTGGTTTAGCATAGCCCACATATTTTGAGATGATGATTGAAACAATACTCCTGATAATGTGCTTGTAGTCATTGCACCTGCAAAGCCAGCAATGACTAGCGAAGAATTTAAATTGAGACTTCCATCTACGACTTCTCAGGTTTGTGAACTGGTCAATATGTAACCATCTTCACAAGCAGTACATTCAGATGAACTTCAAGTCTTACAATTAGAGATTCCACAGTTTGAAGAAGAACTTGTTACTGGAGGGTTTGAGTTAATAACCACATTAATCTGAACATCTTGTAAATATGTCTGTCCAGCAACAGTGCTCTTACCGGTAAAATAAAATATCTGACCTCCTGCAGAAGATGGAACAGCGTAGTCAAATGAAAGCAAGTCAGCCCCAACAGTGATCCACGAAGGCTTCGGCTGACCATTTGAATGAGCATCAATCACAGAACTTATTGAAGTTAACCCACTAACCGAACATGGAAAGAAATTTGGAATATTTCCGATGGCTCCTACAGACGTATTTAACACATAGTTTGCTGTTTCAAATACCACTTCAGATTCGAAATCCAGAGTGTTAGATATCTGTGTGGCTGGTAAATTGTTTGTTCCAACATTGGAGCTTGCTTTCGTGACAGCTCCAGGAGCAGCAGAAACAAATGATGTAGCATCGTTAGAGTAAGAATACCCTGATGATGCAACAAATGAATTTGATGTAGAAGCAAACGCAACATCAGTATTGATCCCAGCTTCGCCATTGGAGGCTAATCGAGACACTCCTATGACATCAGCATCACTATGGACTCCAGACCCGATCAAAGTGTGGCCTCCAGCTTCAAGGATCCATCCTGGTCTGATTACAGTGCTCACATAAACATTCGAGAATGAACCAGTTGCAGGATCATACTCGAGTTTGTATGCTCCAGAATCATACTTCATCAGCACAAACACTTTGCTGAACGAAGCTGAGTAAGCGATGCTACTGATTTCAAGGTTGCTCTGGGTGAAATCTGGAACGTAGGATCCCACAAGAGCTCCATCTGCAAGGTTGCTCACATAAAGGATAGGCTTTGTATTCAAGAAATAGCTGATTACTTTGTTGTCGGATTCCAAAACCAATGCATCATTGTTTCCAGTCAACACTCATGCAGTCGGACAGTCTAATTTCTTGGCCCATTGTTGAGTGGCTGTATCATAGTTGATTGATGCCAAGCTGTAGGATTGAGTGGGGCTCGTCACTGCACCACTGATCATCAAGAGTTCTTGTCCTGAATTCACATACGAATGTATGGAGTACACAGAATTCATACTGACTGGGATCGAAGTAATTGACGTAGTTCCAAAGTCTGCATATCCAACTTTAAACACATGAGGACTCGAAGAAACTTTGCCTGAAACATAGATGCTGGAGTAGTCATCAGAGAATGTTAGAGAGTCTCAATCAGTAGCACTTCCAATTTTGAGTTGCTCAACAATGGATCTGGTTGCACTGTCGAGCTTGACAAGAAGACACTCAGCTGTTGACTGAGTCACCAAGACCAAGTTAGACCCTGATGAGTGCAAAGCGATTCCGTTTTTAGCAATGTTATCATCAAGGTTGAACTCCCAAACCATGTTGAAGCTGGAATCAAACTTGAAAAGGCTGACTCTATCCCAGCTTACGAATTTTCCATTTGCTGTGAGATAGACTCATGAATTATCTGGACATGAGATCCCATTGATAACATCAATATTTGTGAAAGTGTTGTATCTGAAAGCATAGCTTTTTACCTTCATGGAGGTGTCTGTTCCAGCTGGACACTGTGTTGCAAGAACTAGTTTTAAAATCAAAATAAGCCTATATTTAAGTTATCTCTCTCAACTTAATTTGAAAGCATATCAAAAGATAAAATAGGAGATTTATTTTAAAACTGGTTTTTGAAGTGATTATTTTTACAACCAAATTTATATAGACTTCAGATCTTCACTAATTAATTTTTAAATAATAGTAATCCAGCACTTCTCACATAAGCTAAATGTAAGAAAATTTGCGTAAATTCCCTAGCAATGTTGCCTTCCCTTAGCATAACATACTAAAAGTTATCCGTTTCTACATATTTATATTATATGAAATTTGTTGTCTAAATTTACTTCAGCCTTGCTCTAACTAGAAGCTTTAGCTTTTACTATTTGTTTCAACAAAAATAGGAAAAGAACCAGCGCTTTGGCTTGATGGAAGACTTCGAGAAGAATTTTTTAGAAATTTGTAAAATTCCAATCCCAAAATTTATATTTAATAACTGTTTTAGTTTTATGAACTCTAGACAATATTTGATCTAAATAAATTCTTTAGCTTCGATAGATGGAGTATAGCATTATGAGAACTCTACGAGAAATAATAGAGTATTTTCCTTCCGTAATTCATGATGGCTAGCAAAGACAATATAGTTAATATTATCCAAAATGAGCCGGAATAAATAACCAAAAATTTGGAAGATGATATTTTAGAAAGGACATATCTTTTCTTTGAGATCTTCTAAAAGCTAAGATCATCTTGATCCTAACACTACTATCTGAATCTAATTTACTCCTGTCTAATAAAATAATAATATTACTGAGAATAAAGATCTTTCTAAATTACAAATCTGGGTTGACACAGAGTAGACTGCATGGATACCAGCTATAACTCTAAGATAGTAGAGTGCAGTAGGATATCTCCAGAAAAATTAGCAAAAATTAGTTATTAATACCTCTTCTAAAATAAGAATAAAAACAAAAGCTACATTAAGTGGTGGGCTTGTTTAGGTACTAATGCAAAGATATGCTAATAACCAGATTTTTACTTATCTTTGGCTTTGAAATAGTACCCAGATCTTAAAAATGGAAATGGGGCATTTTGCAAACCTTCAGAGTACTGAAAAGCGTATAATAGGGAATTCACTGTAAAAAGTTTATGCACTAATAAAAAGTCAATATCTCTCTCCCTTTTCTTGAGATATAAGAGCATAAATGTATGCTATAAAGCAGATCTGAAATGAATAATATTCCATCGAGTTCAAACTCTCATTTGAAAGCAAAAAGCAGTTTGTGAAATAGTCGTGGATTCCCTAAAGCTGAGACTATATCGACTACAAGGCTTACTTTTCCCTTAGGGTACAATAAGACCTACATACTACCAAAAATTTATTTTGAAATCGATTAGAGCAAAAGTCTCAGAATACCAAATATGAACCTTCGTAAGTTGACAATATTTGAACAATGTTGAGAATGTTTCGAAAGCGTGAAAAAGTCAAAATTTCCCTTGTCAATATTTTCCCAAGACATGTGATTACGAATCTTAGATTCCTGGCTTGCAAATTAGTTGCTCTAGCCTTCCATTAAGCTTTCTTGAGGGAAGGCTACGTATCAGGATCAATCATTTAACAAAAGATGGTTAATAAAGTTCTGCTTACCATATCGCTACCATCATTAAATTTAATTATTCCTATTCCATCCTCCCCCACCTAAATGGGGTTTTGGGGTTTTGGGGTTTTGGGG